ATTTAAGTTGGCTTGAAAGCTCATTAATGGAGACGTGAGTGATTGTGACAGGGCTATTAATGAGTCCCTGCATCCTTGAGACCCAAATTGACAGTCATGATTACTGTGACACCCCATAATCCGGGTGTCTGTAATTATCCGATTGATTATCTATCGACCGGTGTAATACTGATGGATATCGTGTAATTTGATACCACACTGTTATGCCCCATTTCTCGGGATCCATAACTTAACAAAATTTGGGCAGAGTCTCCTTTGTACGAGAAGTTCTACTCAAAATGCAACATGTACAATATTGATCACACCGGGTCTATCTATCCATTCACAATTGTATAGTCTTGAATACTACCATAATCATTATCAGTACATACATTTATTCGTAAAAGAATAAATGTCCCAAAAGAGTTCCATATAATGTCAAATGTTTGTTACAAAAATTATACAAGGCCAAAAGTAAGTATAAACATGGGACTACAATGTCAAAATAAAAGCAACAGACCGGCTCTGTCGTCAAAGCAGACCCATGACCTCGCCTTCGGTAGACGCCTGTGCGATACCTGAAAAATGTTCTCATAAAGGGTGAGCCAACGCTCAATAGGGTAACTCCTATAGAGAATACCTCTCAACCTAAATGCATATGGAATGCCACATGCAACAATCATTTGATACATTCATTCAATATGTCTATTATGATTGAATATTATAAATCATGTCATGCCATGAGATGAGACTCACGCAAGCAATACCAACCCCGAGCCCCATCCTAAACTCCTATAACACATGCATATGTATCCGAGCATTCCAAGCCCCCATCATTGGTGTTATGTACACTCAATGACTAATTAATTCATTTTCTTGTGTCTTTGTTGGGAGGTGATTTATGGTATTACACCAATGAGACACCAATCATCAACGGATCTTTAGGACATCCCACCTGCGGCTCCGTTTCCGCCGTTACACTTTTCTGGAATTTCACCGCCGGAAAGTGTATAAACCAAGAAACAAATACCAGCTAACGGACCGAACCCCCACCAATAACTAAGATTGCTCGGGGTTGGATAATCTATCAAATGCTGATTAAGTGTGGAGAATATAGGTTGTTTAAGAAGAGAGAATCGTTGGTTCCTTATAGTCATTTCTTTCTCTTTTCTATCGTGACAACTCTTATTCCCCCACCTTTAGCGTTCTGGGGCCCTATTATATATAATTATAGTGCCCTTTCTTCCATCTCCGAAGGATGGGGGGGTATACAGTGAAAGAATCGTCGACTGCTCGGTGACCGAATCCGAGAGGTTTTTACCGCTTTCTCTTCTCTCCAGCACTCTCGGACTGATCATCTTGCTGCAACAAAGCAAGCTTAGGAATGAATCTAATGGAAATTTAGGTCCTTTGATTTTAGGCCGCTTGGAAGATTTTTTTTGATTTCCTCTTCCTTCGGTGAAAGAGGGCAAAGGTGTGTGGGAGAAATCATTCTAAAAGGAGAGAAGATTTCGTCCACCAAGCGGGACAGAGTGCGACCCCTAAGCAATTGGGGGTTCTCGCTCATCTCTTGGGGTCCATATCATCTGAAAACTTTTCCTGTTCCATTAGCATAGCTAAATTGGAATAGGATGACTCAGCGTCAGGAAAAGTAAGCCCCCTTGCCTTGATTGAATTTGGCTTCGCTGCGCCCTGAATCAATCAATAAGCTTATTGATTTGATTCATCCCATTTCATTTCATTTGGGCGAGAGGGAGGCTGTGGAGGAGTCACCTGGGCTGCGGATTTGTCGGTTGGTTGATTCTCGAAATCACCTCTTGAAAAAAAAGGCCCTCGGGTCCCGAAAAATGAATAGAAAGCGAGGCGAGGGTCTTTCATTAAAGGAAGGGGGGGAGAGATAAAAGAGGGGTGGGGCTTTGTTCTGGGGGGGCCGCCTTGCGCAGCTTTGGAAAGGAGAGAATTTCAGAAAGTCACTCTCTCCAACCTAAACTATCTATCCTTAGAAGTAGGGCGAGAGAAAGTCAATATGGTATTTGCGTTGGTTTTTCCAACGAAACTAAGCACTTTTTTTCTTTATCATTCGGAAGGCTCAGTCCCACACTCTGACTTCAATGATGGGAACAACCTCCGCACTCCGGCGCTCCAATGAACAACAGTTCCCCGCCTTACTATATTTAGAATAGTGGTCGATCCCTCGGGAGTTACATTCGTAACTTAATGTTATGTTCACGCGGTGATATTCTATCTTTCCAAAAGTACTACCCTGTACGTAGTCTATGTCTGGGGGGCATACTTGACAAGAGATAGACACAGGCGGTAGAGAGGTCCCCCACTTCGATTCCCGCCCCGTTAGCATCTCCGATCCGAGATAAGGGATTACCCCGTTAGGTCTTTTCGGTCCGGAGCCGGCCGGTAATGGACCTACTTACCTTGCTTGTACCAGCTGCAGAGCTAACCCTTGTTCTATTGTTCTATTGGTTTGGTGCTACCAAGACGATTTCTTTATGCCCATTAAAGGACCTCGAGATGCTAATCCACGAAAAACGATACGAGAAATTCGAAAGAACTCATATACGGAACGAGGGCGACCCGTGAAAATACATCGGTTTCTTACTCGCGCAAAGGAACTATTTCTTGGCAACTTGGACAACTTATAACGATGTTTGTCCCGCATATCACTAGGAAGATCGGGATCTTTACAAAAGGCTTTATAAAGCTTTCGTCTCAATTCATATTTAGCCGCGAGCAATCTACGTTTGTGATCTCGTATATTTCGCTTCTCCGACATCTTACTGAGTTTCCCCCTCATCTTTTTGCAAAAAGCCGCTCCACGGTGGTAAAGTCTCATCTTGTGTGTTGGCCGAAGTGACAATAGTCACATTGAACCCTCGAATATGTTCGAAGATCTCGAAATGCTCTTCCAGTTCCGGGGAGAATTCGCAAAACTCCGTTTCCATCGAGAATTGAATGGAGTTTTCCCGTATTTCGACCGGAGAATCTAACAGAGACATTACTGTGGAGATTCTGACCAAAAATGAGACATCCATGCCCTCGAGAGTGCTTTGTCGTGCTAGGTCACTGACATATCCCTTTTTGTCTTTATTTGACCCCAAGAATGGATTGGATCGAAACGACTTTCCTGTCGAAGCCCTTTCTGTCTGTATGAATTTCTGACCGCGCGGAATCTCCATAGGCCCACTCCGGCCGAATTATTATTGGAGATTCCGCGCGGTCAGAAATTCATACAGACAGAAAGGGCTTCGACAGGAAGTCGTTTCGATCCAATCCATTCTTGGGGTCAAATAAGACAAAAAGGGATATGTCAGTGACCTAGCACGACAAAGCACTCTCCGAGGGCATGGAATGTCTCATTTTTTGGTCAGAATCTCCACAGTAATGTCTCTGTTAGATTCTCCGGTCGAAATACGGGAAACTCCATTCAATTCTCGATGGAAACGGAGTTTTGCGAATTCTCCCCGAACTGGAAGAGCATTTCGAGATCTTCGAACATATTCGAGGGTTCAATGTGACTATTGTCACTTCGGCCACACACAAGATGAGACTTTACCACCGTGGAGCGGCTTTTTGCAAAAAGATGAGGGGGAAACTCAGTAAGATGTCGGAGAAGCGAAATATACGAGATCACAAACGTAGATTGCTCGCGGCTAAATATGAATTGAGACGAAAGCTTTATAAAGCCTTTTGTAAAGATCCCGATCTTCCTAGTGATATGCGGGACAAACATCGTTATAAGTTGTCCAAGTTGCCAAGAAATAGTTCCTTTGCGCGAGTAAGAAACCGATGTATTTTCACGGGTCGCCCTCGTTCCGTATATGAGTTCTTTCGAATTTCTCGTATCGTTTTTCGTGGATTAGCATCTCGAGGTCCTTTAATGGGCATAAAGAAATCGTCTTGGTAGCACCAAACCAATAGAACAATAGAACAAGGGTTAGCTCTGCAGCTGGTACAAGCAAGGTAAGTAGGTCCATTACCGGCCGGCTCCGGACCGAAAAGACCTAACGGGGTAATCCCTTATCTCGGATCGGAGATGCTAACGGGGCGGGAATCGAAGTGGGGACCTCTCTACCGCCTGTGTCTATCTCTTGTCAAGTATGCCCCCCAGACATAGACTACGTACAGGGTAGTACTTTTGGAAAGATAGAATATCACCGCGTGAACATAACATTAAGTTACGAATGTAACTCCCGAGGGATCGACCACTATTCTAAATATAGTAAGGCGGGGAACTGTTGTTCATTGGAGCGCCGGAGTGCGGAGGTTGTTCCCATCATTGAAGTCAGAGTGTGGGACTGAGCCTTCCGAATGATAAAGAAAAAAAGTGCTTAGTTTCGTTGGAAAAACCAACGCAATACCATATTGACTTTCTCTCGCCCTACTTCTAAGGATAGATAGTTTAGGTTGGAGAGAGTGACTTTCTGAAATTCTCTCCTTTCCAAAGCTGCGCAAGGCGGCCCCCCCCAGAACAAAGCCCCACCCCTCTTTTATCTCTCCCCCCCTTCCTTTAATGAAAGACCCTCGCCTCGCTTTCTATTCATTTTTCGGGACCCGAGGGCCTTTTTTTTTCAAGAGGTGATTTCGAGAATCAACCAACCGACAAATCCGCAGCCCAGGTGACTCCTCCACAGCCTCCCTCTCGCCCAAATGAAATGAAATGGGATGAATCAAATCAATAAGCTTATTGATTGATTCAGGGCGCAGCGAAGCCAAATTCAATCAAGGCAAGGGGGCTTACTTTTCCTGACGCTGAGTCATCCTATTCCAATTTAGCTATGCTAATGGAACAGAAAAGTTTTCAGATGATATGGACCCCAAGAGATGAGCGAGAACCCCCAATTGCTTAGGGGTCGCACTCTGTCCCGCTTGGTGGACGAAATCTTCTCTCCTTTTAGAATGATTTCTCCCACACACCTTTGCCCTCTTTCACCGAAGGAAGAGGAAATCAAAAAATCTTCCAAGCGGCCTAAAATCAAAGGACCTAAATTTCCATTAGATTCATTCCTAAGCT